TCACTACTTTCTTATTATATAACCTATTAAGTATTATACACTTTTAATAATCTTTAGGTTAAGTATTATACACTTTTAATAATCTCTTTTTTTATATCATATAAAGGGATAAAGAGGCCAATGGCTCTTATTTAAGAATTTTTTAAGAAAATAGTCGAAGTTTTATAAAATTAGTAAAATGGCCCTTTTTTTTTGTTAAATTAGTAGTTAATCACTAGTTGACTCAGCGGTTAAAACTGATATAATTTTTTATTATTAATCAATATCAGTTAATAATTAATCAAATTAATTAGTAATTAATCAATTTCAATCAATACACATGTTAATTGATGATAAATCATTGGTAGATTATAATAATGAATCGGTCAATCAGTCGGTCGATCACTAATTGATGACTTGAAAAAAAATGGCCATTTTGCTAAAATAAAAAAAGTTTGACAAATTTTTTAAAAAAAAATAAAAAGTTAAGCTATTTATTAAAAAAGTTGGTCAAAAGATAGTTATTTATCCGATTTTCCTTTATATAAACTCTTTTATAACAACTATTCGCCATTTCAAAGGACGATGGAGATTGTGGAAGGAAATGCACGTGATAGGAGTACAGGAGGAAACCCATAAGTTTTTGGGATTTTTTTTTTTTTGCATTGATTAAAGTTAATTTAAAGTCAAAATCTTTTAAAGGTTTTAAAATTTTTGGGTCTTTTAAAGGTTATTTTTTTAAAGTAAATTTAACTTTTAGTTTGTAAAAATTAAAATATTGAGTTAGCAACAGTTCTTTTTAGGTTTTTTTTTTAATTTAAAACAGAAATTTTGAACTCAATTTATTGTCGAAATCAAATTTGAGTTAATAATAGAAGAAAATGACTACTAGTGCCTTTTTTGCTATTTATGTACCTGTCACGTGATTAAATATGTCCAGAATTTAACAATCATTTTCAATTGGACTTGCAATGCAATATATTTCAAAATTCAAGAATTTAATTGAAAATACTAACTTCAAAGTTAAAGAATTTAATTGTAAAATATTTATGGCTTGTTTTTTTGAGTGAAAAACTCAAAAAAAGATAATTCGAGTTATAACTTTATTCGAGTTTATGTTTTTTTAAGTTTAGACTCGAGTTTAGGATTAAAACTCGAGTTCAAGTTTCTCCTTCAACTCGAGTTCAGAAACTCGAACTCAAATTAATGAACAGTATTTTTTCTATTCTTAAAAATGCTATAACTTTTTCGTTTTAATTCTGATTGAGATTTTTTTTTCTATGCGTTGACAACGAAAAGACGAATAAAACCCGACCCATATACCATATTAAAATTTTTCATCAGATTGAGTTTTTATTAAAATACTATCTAAATATAAATTTAAGTTTTGACTCACACAAACACAAACTCAAAAAGATTATTATCTCAAACCATAACTCAAATATATACAATCAAACACAAACTCAAGTTACAAGTTCAACTCAAGTTATAACTCAAATTCAACTCAAGAATTATACTCAAGTTAAACTCTAAAAGAACAAGCCCTTAATTTAAGAATCAATCCGGTATACACATAAAGCTCAGGGGAATCCCATATAAAAAAGCTAAAATAAAATGGTAAAACATGTTTTTTTACGCGTTGAAATTACTTTTTTTTTTGACAAAATGTGTGAAAGCGTTACTTGCGTTTATTTAGAGGAACTTTGATAATTGATGTCAGCATGTTGTAGTAAGAGGGAAGAAAACTTAGAGCCCATTTAGTTCGCTGATTCAAGTTTTTAATTCGAGTTGAGATGTGATTTTATGTGAAAGCTTTTTACTGTAGCAAAAAAGTTAGATGTGATTGTTTGTGAGAGCTTTTTACTGTAGCAAAACTCGAATTCTAAACTCGAGTCAGCGAAATGAATGAGGCCTTAAATTTAAACCACTCAAATCGTTTAGTTTTTGTCAAACATATCAAATTGATTAAAAGAAAAAAATATTATTATTTTGTTTGGCTATTTCTGTAAAAACAATCGCTCAAACCGTCGGCGAATACCTATATCTAGATTTGTAAGTTTAGGCCGGGTTAAACGGACCAGCTTGAGGTCTGCCACTGTTGACCGGAGTCCGGCCTTAAATATTTTAGGCTTAGGACCGGGCTGGGCCGACCCTCTATCCTTTAGAGCCGGGCCAGCCCTGTCCAAACATCATATTTTTAAATTTTTTTTTTTAAATATCTTATCTTGGCCTGGGCGGGTCCCAAACTTTTAAGCTTAAGTTCGGGCGAGGCCTGCGCTCTCTCTTTTAGGGACGGGGCAGACCACCCTAAAATTTCCCTTTAAGCTCGGCTCGGATCATGTTGGTTTTGAAAATGATTTTCTATGCGGAAGCGCATATCTAGTGGATCATATATAACAAAAACTTTGACAACCCTTTGAGATACTATATAAATTACATTAATTTATGCACGAATAAATTTATGAATAAATTTACCTAGCGAATGATTATGTCGATAACTTGAGTTCTTTGACCACGAATGTTCATCGCTCCAAGATTGTTTCGAATATCCAAATATTCCTTGTCAATTTCTTGAATCTACAAAGACATGTGCGTGGGCACACCTAAACAAAACGAGATTTGTAAATAAACACTTAAGTATTCCACGAACACCAACACATGCACGACGTGGAACTTGAGATAAAATTTTCCTTTCCATACTCTATAAAATTCGGCCACACTATGCTAGGGAGAGTAAAAATTATGTTATGTAATTTTCTACAATCTTCTATTAATAAAATAGTTGTGAGACTCTCAGAGAAAGTCTAAACTTTATCTCCAAGATAAAGGTTAATAATTATATCCCGCTTCTAATTGATTTTGGAAATAAAATCCCCTCTCTTTCTTATCCACATAGGCCAGCCACCACATGCATATTCCCCCTGTGGTTGGCACAAATAGCAGACATGGAAGGAGAAAAAATTATCTTTTATCCTGCAGTCTAATTTACTCAAATTCAAATTCCAATTTAAGTCAAACTTAATTTAATTTGAATTTCAATTAGACAACTTATCAAATAAGCCAATTGGATAACTTAGAGAGTAAGCAACTGAATCCCATAGGGATTCCCACTGTGTTAGGCGTGTACACCATGTGAACTCCTCCACATGTGTGTTTTAAAATTTAAATTTAAATAACCACATTATTTAATTTATAATTAATTCTCAATTAATTATTTTTGAGTGTTCTATTTATGATTCTATAATTCTAAAATTTTCATTTTGCCTTTAGTGTCTTGTATGATTATAAGGACGACGCGAAGACTTATGGACCTATAATTCTGAGTTTCAATAAAATAAATAATTAATAAAAACTAATTAATTAATTAATTTATTCTATTAATTCTAAAAATCACTCCACTATAAACTTGAAAATGCACTGAAGGAGAAAAAATTATCTTTTATCCTGCAGTCTAATTTACTCAAATTCAAATTCCAATTTAAGTCAAACTTAATTTAATTTGAATTTCAATTAGACAACTTATCAAATAAGTCAATTGGATAACTTAGAGAGTAAGCAACTGAATCCCAGAGGGATTCCCACTGTGTTAGGCGTGTACACCATGTGAACTCCTCCACATGTGTGTTTCAAAATTTAAATTTAAATAACCACATTATTTAATTTATAATTAATTCTCAATTAATTATTCTTGAGTGTTCTATTTATGATTCTATAATTCTAAAATTTTCATTTTGCCTTTAGTGTCTTGTAGGATTATAAGGACGACGCGAAGACTTATGGACCTATAATTCTGAGTTTCAATAAAATTAATAATTAATAAAAACTAATTAATTAATTAATTTATTCTATTAATTCTAAAAATCACTCCACTATAAACTTGGAAATGCACTCTCGCAATTATAGATATAATTTACTTCTAAACCGTGAAGTGTCCCTTTGATAGTGTCATTACATATAGATCAACCGTCCATAAATAATTGATAATTAGAACTATTTGAAATCCGTTAACCTCTCTAATTACATCTTTATCCTTGAGTACCATTAATTCTTTAATGGACAGTGATTTATAAAACAAATTCATGAATCATAGCTCGTACTAATCTAAGTACCGAATCAATCCTCAAGAGAATTATTTATCTGCTTCTTTCTCAAGAAGAAATGGATTCCATCTCGTGTATTAATATTTCTAGCTACTCACTTCATCGTGTCTCTAAATACATAGAATAAGATTCAATATCTCAGAATTCGTATCGAGTAAATCAAAATACACAAATTCATAAATAAGAGTCTGCTAATAACTCACGATTAAGATCATTTTATATATGACCATTGATAGACTCAATTAGAATTTTTATGCTTAACAGAAATTATCAGAAATTCATATTGTGTAGAATTCAATATCTCATCATATTAACAACGTGGATAACACCATTACATTCTAAATGAGAATGACATGTATTAGTAATGTTTTAATTAAAGATTCTGAACTTTAATTAAATGCATTACAAACATCATTTTGATTATTATCCTTAAATATTATCCTCTCATATATAACACGTATATACAATATTTAAGATAACATAAATAATCATGAAAATTTCAATGATATTTATAAAATATTCAATAATATATGCATATAAAATAATAATTAAAATTTTTTATTAAATAAATAATAAATATCATATTACAACGGATGCTTATAGAATATCATTCTCAACAGACTAAACTTACACCTGGCCATATCAAAGAGTTTGTTTGTTTTTTTTATTATTATATTTTTTCTTTGTTTTGTTTTCATTATTTTTTTCTTACCAAGCGGTGCGTTTAGTAGCCACTCCTCCAAGCTCCAAGCTCAAGCTCAAGCTCAAGCATCTCCTGAAACGATGATCGATGAGAGATTAAACATCATAGGTTGTATCGTATACACAGTAATCAACCACAGAGGATCCCAACCCAAAATTATCATTTTTCTTTTGTCCCACGCCCTTTTTTCATCCGAGGCCTAAAACCCTTCTCTCAAAGGTTTTCTCATTTCTGCTTCTCCGCCTCTCTCTCCTCCAAAACCCTTCTTCTTCTTCTCTCTCCCTAAAACCCTAACTAACCCCTTATCCCTAGTTTCAGCCACTTTCTCTCTCCTCTCCCCCCAAACCCTAGCCCCTAAATTGGATCCAACATGATGAACGTCGTCCTTCGGAGGCGGACTCTCGCCGCCATCGAGTCCCTGCTCCACCGCCGCCAATTCTCGATAGCCGCGGCCGGCGCTGTTAGGTCCGGAAATCGCGGTCCCGGCGCTGAGGTTGAGTCCTCCATTTCTAGGGTTCTGCAGCGGGAGAGCCCGTTAGGGTTTGGAGTTAGGAGCTTCCACGTGAAATCTGGCCCGTTGGATTATCGCGCCTCGTCGATTTTGCAGGCTGAGTACGCCGTTGATGTGGATTCCTTTGAAGATTCGTCGAAAGTGAGCGGTAGCGATGAAGGACTTGAGATCGCGAAGCTTGGGATTTCGCCGGAGATCGTATCTGCTTTGGCTAAGAGGGGTATTACTAAGCTATTCCCCATACAGGTACATTTATTATCTTTGAGGCTCAATTCTTTATTAATTTGTTCTGAAATGATGGGAAATGGAATTATTGTTTTTTTTTTTTTTCCCTCTTTCGGAGAATTTGTGTATCTTGTTCAGTTTGAGGTGAAGTTGTAAAGGCTGATTTTTTGGGATTCATTTTTTTACAGAAAGCTGTGCTGGAACCGGCAATGCAGGGGCGAGATATGGTTGGTCGAGCTAGAACGGGAACTGGGAAGACTCTTGCTTTTGGAATCCCCATCCTGGATAAAATCATTCAGTACAATGCTAAACATGGGTTTGTCTTCTGATCCTGCTTTTATTTATTTATTTATTTTTATTATTATTTATTTTTAATTTTTATGATCACATGTAGCCTTTTAGTTGTGTGTTGGATTTGAATTGTGTGTGCTTGTGGGTCAAGTTATGAATGATGAATGTGAATTCATTTGTTTTTGTTTTGATGGCTTATGTAATAAATTCTACAGGCGCGGAAGGAATCCGTTGGCATTGGTTTTGGCTCCAACAAGGGAACTTGCGAGGCAAGTTGAGAAGGAGTTCCAAGAGTCTGCGCCCAGTTTGGATACAATCTGTGTCTATGGCGGTACACCGATCTCACAACAAATGAGGCAGCTTGACTATGGAGTAGATATAGCTGTGGGAACACCTGGTCGCATTATTGACCTTCTCAACAGGGGTGCTCTAAATCTGTCAGAAGTTCAGTTTCTTGTTCTTGATGAAGCTGATCAGATGCTTCAAGTGGGATTTCAGGAGGATGTGGAGAAGATCTTAGAGAAAATGCCCCAGAAGCGGCAGACCATGATGTTCTCTGCAACAATGCCACAATGGATTAGACAACTTGTTCGAAATTATTTAAACAACCCAGTAAACATTGATCTTGTGAGTGCTCAATGCCTAATTTTTTTCTCTGACTATTCATACTCTTGTTTTAACAACTCCTTTTTCCATATTACTATGCTTCCCTTTTAAAATTCTTGGTTATGGTGTTGTTCGGTTTGGTTAATAGGATGTAACTATATCGTAGGGAGTTATATCACGCGAGTGCATGTTTTATTTGTTTTTTTATGTTACTTAGTATTATTAGTAGCTGATGGAACCTGGGCCTCAGATTCTAGGTTTGTTTACAACTAAATGGAAGTTCAAGGGATTGTGCATTTTTTGTCCTCTTTGAAGATATAGTGCAAAATAGAGAATTATAAACATAACAAACTCATTAGTTCTTATCGGTGCTAGCTTATCAGTTGCTATTCTGTGCTGTAGGTTGGAGATTCTAACCAGAAACTGGCAGATGGTATTTCTTTGTACGCAATTGCATCAGATACATGTGCAAAAGCATCAATTATTGGGCCTCTGATTACGGTAAGAATTGAGAATTTGCTTTCTATTTTGTGTTAAAACTGGTATTCTTAACCTTTTTTTTGTGGACTTATTGATGTGGGAGAAATAATAGAATTATTCATGTTTTAGCATTTTGATATTTCAACTTGTGGATATGTATTGTATTGTCAGGAACATGCCAAAGGAGGTAAGTGTATCGTTTTCACCCAAACTAAACGTGATGCTGATCGATTGGCATATGCAATGTCGAGGAGTTATAGATGTGAGCCTTTGCATGGAGATATCTCTCAAAGCCAGAGGGAAAGAACACTTTCAGGGTTCCGAGATGGACATTTCAATATTCTAGTAGCCACTGATGTCGCTGCTCGTGGACTTGATATACCAAACGTTGATCTGGTAAGATTATTTAACCAATCTGTATTAATGTATTTTATGTCTACTTATCACTTGATCCTGATGGAAGTTATCGTTGTTACCTTCTAAAAGAGGAGTTTTTTTTTATATTATTTTAGGAATGGTAGTTGCAAGTAAAAAGTTGGAGCTCTTTGGTCGAGTGCGATATAATGAGCTGCACTGAAAGGTTTAGTGGCAGTAAACTTTAATGTAGTTGAACTGGAAGCCAATAACTTAGCATTGGATCTGACTTGTACAAAAAACACATTAATTTCACTTTTAGTAAACGTTCTAGGGGATGTGTTTTATAAGGCCGGAGCTTGGTGTGCAGGTTTTGTTGCGATCGTGTTGACCTTTTCACCGTGTACATTTCTTTGTTACAGATAATACATTATGAACTTCCAAATTCTTCAGAAATATTTGTTCATAGATCAGGCCGGACAGGTCGTGCAGGAAAGAAAGGAGCTGCTATTCTTCTTTACACTAGTGGCGAAACCAGGGCTGTAAGGTCAATTGAGCGAGATGTGGGATGCAGATTTACAGAGGTTATGATCACTCCGTTACCATTTAAATTCTCTTCTATTGATTTAGGCAAATGAATTCAGTTTGTGACTGTATGAGACAGGTAGATTAACACATGTAGGTTCAGTGTTCAAGTGTCTCCGCAATTCTAAGCTTGCACTGATGTGAGACTTGTTTAATGTCTGGAGTCAGATTCTTGATGCAGTTATTTGCTGATAGATTTTATATTTTGGGAGTTATGTTCCAGTATGATGTGAATATGCATAGTTTCTTCTGCAAGAAGTATACCTGTCTGGTACTGGAGCTATGCATAATAATAATGATTGGCTAAGAGCCGGTGTTCTAGTCTTGGGGTATCAGGATGTAGTTTTGGAAGTGGCTTAATGATCTCTGAGTATATATGTAATGCTCATTTCTGTTTATTAGCCTCTGGAAATAAGAGGAAGAAAAAATGGCCTGACCTTTTGCATGTCTCACTGTTTTGTTTTGCTCAAACTATTAGCTGCAAGAATCGAAGTATTTAAATACGGCTGTCATATTGGGAGCTTTAAATTTAACTGCAATTATGCATGTGTTTTTTCAAAGCACTACTGGTTTTGTTTCAGTACGTCTTAATCAATTTCTTTTGGTTTGTAGTATAATTTTGTTCATTTTCCATAATTGTACTGTTTGTGCGACTGATTGCTTTTACTTGCTGGTTATCAGCTTCCTAAGGTTGCAGGCGATGCAAATATAGACATGTTCAGCGTCGGTGGTGGTGGTCGATTCGGTTCATTTGGAGGCACGAGGGATCGCCGATCTGATGGTGGTTTTGGTCGTTTTGGTGGTTCAGGACGTTTCGGATCTGGCCGTTCTGGCGGCTTTGGTGATTCTGCTCGTGGATCTAACTCTGGTAGTTTTGGTTCCTTTGGTGACCGCGATCGATCAGGAAGTGGATTTGGCGGTTCCTTTGGTGACCGTGATCGTTCTAGAAGCGGATTTGGCGGTTCCTTTGGTGATCGGAATCGATCTGGAAGTGGATTTGGCGGTTCATTTGGTGAAAGTGGTCGATCTGGAAGCGGATTTGGTGGGCCTAGTAAAGACCGTAGCGGGAACTTTGGTGGATTTGGCGGGCCTAGTCGTTCAGGTGGTTTTGGGGATTTTGGTCTTTCAGATTGATCTGATTTCGGGTACTTTGGCTCCAGCTGCCCCGGGTGAATCTGGTGTGGATCCTTCTACCCAAAGCCAATGGCGGTTTTGGGAGTCCCATACTAATCTAATCATTCGGGGTGCTTTGGCCGCTTCAATGACGTCAGGGCCGGCAAGTCAGAACACTTGGGCCGAGGAGAGGAGACCCTTCTAAAATTTGCTAGTTGTAAGTATTTTTTTCATCATCAAATATATGAGAGGCACTTTCTTCTAGTCTTATTCTTTTGTTACCGTCCGTACTTACTGGTTCAACAGACATCTGATTATTTAAAAAGCTTCACTATGATACTGGGCTCCAAAGGAAGCATATTTTTACGTCTCTTAATATTTATTACTAGGTTAGGTTGCCAATCTAAATATATTATAATGCCGATTTTTGATGGGTTCAGCTATTTTTAAATTTAAGGTGTAGAATTATATTGTGGGAAAGGTGAGTATTCATGTACCAAAGGATTGAAGCTTTTATTCTTGGCCATAGCCATGCAACGTGAACACATTAGAAGTCCTGAGAAATTACTCTATATATGATGAAATAAAACGAGAAACTTATTACGTACTAATTTGTTGTCTGTTATATTGGAAATTGATTTGTTCACCCGTACGTGGAAATGAAATCAAAATCAGAGTAATTTGTTGAAATATATCGAGAAACTTCATCACGCACTAATTTGTTGTCATGTTCAACCGTTACATTGGAACCGTACGTGGAAATGAACTCAAATTCAGAGTATGCTACCTTTTTGGATTTATTTTTTCCGTACGTGCTATTTTTGAGGCGTATGATGCCAAATGGAACGTGGAGTTGGTTTGTTTTTTGTTTTTTGTTTTGTGTTTTTTTTTTAACACTTGGATTTGGAGCAGTTTAGATGCGTAAAGACAACGGACTTTAAACAAGTTCAGGTGTAATTTAAACTTATAAGAAGAATGATTTGTGCTAAAGATAATGAAATAAGAATGATTTGTGCTAATAATTACGAAAGTAGATTGCATGGAGATTCAGATAATAGTAATGTGTTTGTAAGCAACAATTTTGTCAGCCTACAAATAACCATCAATAATCATGTCGTATCGAACTGTACCTAAATTTGAAGTAGTAAAGTTGTGTATCTATAGAATGTTGGACGAAAATGAGACGGTAAAATTGTGTCAATGGAATTTGAATTAAATTGTGCATCCTAGGTTTAAAACAAGTGGGCATTGGCCTCTTAAGTATCGAGGGTTTATTTCTTTTGGGACGGCTACCCTCAGTGTGGCTTCACACTTGCTCTTGGAGCTTTCCTAATTTAAGTAACATCATTTTGACTTTAAAAAAAAAGAGAAATTATGCCGGGTGGCATTTTTTAACCACCTCATGGCTGAATTTTTTTTATTTTATGAAAATGGTCGTTTTGTTTACATGAATTAATCAGAAATTGATTTATGGACCACAATCAATCATGATTCATGATTGAGCGATTCATTATTAATTTATCAATGGTTTATCATTAATAAACATGTAATTTCTTGATTGAAATTGATTAAGTATTAATTGATTTTAATTAATTATCAATTAACATTGATTAATAATAAATAATAATATAGTTAATTAGTGATAAATTAAAGTCAATTATGATTAATCGTTGAGTCAATCGGTGATTGCCATTACGTTAATGAAAACAATCATTTTTGTAATTTTGTAAAATTTCAGCCATTTATGAAAAACATACAAAAAAAAAAAATAACATAGAAAAAAGAGAGAATATTGGATGAATACAAAATGCAAATGGGAAAAACAGCAACGACTCTCAATTGAGAAAACACTTAAAACTTTTCCGAGTGAGGAAAATGTTGGGGAAAGTTAAGTAAAAAGTTAAATGCAAACCTACGGAATTAGGTTTTAAAGTTTTAAATGATGCTTGGATATCTTCATGCTATATTTGGTCCTCGTGATTCTCCTATTCTTTCGGTTTTCTTGGATTGGTTGGTGTAGAATAATGATTCAATTTTGGCTCAACTGTAACTAGGGTTACAATTCAAAACCCAATGAGAAGTTGACTAGCTAGGGTTAGGGGTCATCCAAACCCTAACGCCTATAATGGGGTTTGTGCCATTTGGCATCCTTCATTAATCCTATATAGACCAATCTTGGATCAATAATAGTTAAACTAACACCCGGGAGGCTAGGTTGACATATTCCAAGTTCCAACCCTGTCCAAGCAAACTGAAATTCCATTTTCCAACCCTGTTTAGTGTCTACTTAAGACTGGCATTCTACCAATTTGTTTTGGAAATCAATTTATGCAAGCCAGCAAAGAGACCCTGTGGCAAAAACATAATTTAGCTTTTACGGGTACCTAAAGGCGACCCCATATGAAATATGTAATCAAGTTGGGTTAAAATTTGGTTTTACCTATCCGATTGCTACTTTTTCTCAAATTCCATTGTAGCACCTTAGATAAAGTCTATTTATAATTTCATCATATATTTAAAAAAATTTAGTAAACACTCACAGGGTAACTTTAATTCTATTCATTCAAAAATGGGTCCATGTCTATAAAAAAGTTCTCACCACTTACGAATTATACGCCCAAAATACCGAGGTAATGGGTATCAACTAAATCTCTCTATTTAGGGCTTGTTCTTTTAAAGTTTAACTTAAGTATAATTCTTGAGTTGAATTTGAATTATAATTTGAGTTGAACTTGTAACTTGAGTTTGTGTTTGGTTGTGTATATTTGAGTTATGGTTTGAGATAAGAATCTTTTTAAATTTGTGTTTGAATGAGTCAAAACTTGAATATGTATTTAGATAGTATTTTAATAAAAACTCAATGCTGATGAAAAATTTTAATATGGTATATGAGTCGGGTTTTATTCGTCTTTTCGTTGTCAACGCATAGAAAAAAAAATCTCAATCAGAATTAAAACGAAAAAGTTATAACATTTTTAAGAATAGAAAAAATAATGTTCATTAATTTGAGTTCGAGTTTCTGAACTCGAGTTGAAGAGGAACCTTGAACTCGAGTTTTAATTCTAAACTCGAGTTTGAACTCGAGTTTAAACTTAAAAAACATGAACTCGAATAAAGTTATAACCCGAGTTACATTTTTTTGAGTTTTTCACTCAAAAGAACAAGCCCTTAGTATCTCATACATTCAAAATATAAACGAGTGCATTAATTGCTCAAGATTATAATCGCCATATAAATGGCAATCGAAGTAAAATTTGATTCAATAACTGGAATCATTACCAAGTACCAAATCACTTACCTATGGTCAAGTCAAACATTTTTCACTTGACAAAACAGATATTATCGTTGATTTTTCATTAGTAACTTGAGGAAAAAAAAAAAAAAAAAAACGAAAATATATCTTGCTATGTCTATTATGACTATAAATTGACTTGGTTGAGTACAAATAGTTGCTACTTCAGATTTTTGAAGAAAATTCAGCTATGATGGTACAATTAAAAGAGGACTTGAATAAGCATCCCAACGAAGTGGCGCACGTCCCAGGCGAGACATCCGGTTAGTTGAAGACCATAAGGAACAAAAGGAATTTCTTATTCGACTATTGGTGTAATAATATACAACAATCTAATTTTTTGTATCCAAAACCCACCGGGGAAAGGAAAAAAGCACAAAATTTTCAAAAACCGAAGGAAAAATAGTTACAGTTTTGAGTCTCACACTGTCATGCATTGAAGAGCTTCCTGAAAGGTCCATCCTTCCGGTCCTTTGCAGCTTCAGTGAGGGCAAGGAACCTCTTGAAACCCGTTGTGGCAGCACCTCGTCCAAGTGCAGCTGCTCGTGCTAGCACATCCTCTCTGGAAGCAATTAATCCAATTGAAGCAGAGCTGGGTATTAGAGAAGCCGCAGCTGGAGCTGGTTGGACAGTGGTGGCAACAACTGGTGCTATAGAAGGTTGTGTAATCCCCGGTCCATGTTTGTTGAAATCATCCAGTATGCTTTGTTGATCAGCTTTTTTAAGACCCTGTATAACCCATCATAAAATAAACCAGAAAGAAATACTGTATTCAGTCAAACATCTGAACGAGCAAGCATAGAGCAACACAATGTGCAAATTCCACAACATCATGCCATAAACAACGAAGCAAAATGATAAAGAAATGATTTGTTTCTTTTACTACCAAAAAGGGGGGAAAATTGATAAAATGTAAAGGAAATCCATAACTTCAGTTCAAAGAACTATAGTGCAGGATTCCATCAGACACGATTGAGATCTAAAACTCTAGACTGGACTCGGTTGACTGGTATTATCCTCATTGGTCATTCAAATTTTCATCCCCGACTTGTCAACTCTCAGAGTAAATTGCGGGCTTCGACAGATGATGGTTCAGTAATGCAATATTCAACCTTTTGAACCCCTTCAAAAAGGGGAGAAAAAAAGAAGAAAAAAAAAAGGAAGACAAATAGTTGACTATAACCTTGAGCTCCAGAATCCGCTGAAATTCCATCGGGGTTCCCTCTGGTAGCAATGCTCTATATGTATCCGCCACAGAATCAATTGGTGACAATATAACCTGTTTTAGAAGGAGAGGAATATATGAACTCTTTGAAAACAAACTCTTAAGCTGTCAAAAAATTTAAAGAAATGATAAGCAACCTTCAAAAGTGCTTCAGCTTTACTCATCTCACGGCTAACAAACTTTGAATAGCTAGCAGCACCTGATGTCTGTTATAGGTACAAAAAAGAAACAAATAATGGTTTTAATTTCAATTCTAGGAGAAAGAACAAGTCAATATGCAACTAAATTGTTCTTAGTTCAACACTGAGGTCCAAAGTTCATATTCCGCTCTTTTTTAGGGAAATTACTCTTCTTTTCTTTTTTTTTCTTTTTTTTTAATACAGTGATCAATCACTGATAGTGAAATTGGTTTATCAACAACGGATATTGGTCAATCAGCAATAAAACAATAAGTCAATCAGTGATAAACAGGTTATCATTGATAAACAGCCATTTCCCTAATTTTACAAAACTTCGACCACTTACTAAATAAAAAAGGCCACTTTTGCAAATATCCCTTTTATTTAAATAGATAAACAAATAAATAAATACACAAAAAAGATTGCAATCTAAATTACTTCAAAATTCAAACTAGACAGTCCTAGTTTATACTTTATACTTCAAAATCCAAATCTAAATACTTTATGTTCTAATTTATACTCTTATCTAAATTACTTTATACTTCAAAATCCAAATCCCTGAGGACGGTTTGGAGCAACATGGGGTTTAAGAGAGGGAAATCCACTTTCTCCTTTTCTGTTTACCCTAGTAGCTGATGTGCTTGGTAGATTAATGGACAAAGCATTAGAGATGGGAGATGTGGAGGGATTATCAATTGGAAGAGAGGAAGTAACTGTGTCGCATCTCTAATTTGTGGATGACACATTGTTTTTGTTGGGGACCAGCATGGAGAACATCAGAAATGTCAAATCAATTTTGAAAATTTTCACTCTTTGTTCAGGTTTGAAAATCAACATGGGTGAAAGGCTGAAAGCACATTGGTGGGAATAAATGTTGAGGAGTTTGATTCATGATTTTGTGATGGATTTGGGTAGTGAAGTGGGTGAATTGCCTATGAAATATCTGGGTTTGCCTCTGGGTGGGAATCCATTGCCAAATGGAATTTTGGATGCCGGTAATTGAAAAGGTGTCAAAAAGATTGGATGGCTGGAAGAAATCCTTTCTTTCTAGGTGAGGAAGATTAACTCTAATTCAATCCGTCATTACGAGCATTCCAATTTATTATGTCTTTGTTCAAGATGCCTGGAACTGTTGTTGAGGTGCTGGAAAGATTGATGAAAAATTTTCTATGGGACAATCAGGAAGGAGGGAGACTACGATGCTTGGTGGCTTGGGACATCGTGTCAAAAGCCAAGGAGAAAGGCGGTTTGGGTATTGGGAATTTAAAATGGAAATTTATCTCTCAGGGGCTGAATGTCTTCCTTCAAAATGTTAAATTGAGAGTAGGGGATGGGACTAGAACACTGTTTTGGAAAGATAAATGGTGTGGAAACAAGTCTTTAGAAGTTTTGTTCCCTCGTTTGTTCAGAGTTACTAATCTTCCTAATGCTCTTATATCCCAAATCTAGTCACTGTCCAGCAATGATGATTCAAATTGGAACCTCGGTGTTCGGACAGGACTCAATAACAAAGAGGTAGAGGATTTGCATTCTCTATTACAAATTCTAAATTCTTTTCCTTTTAGTCCATCCTCTCCTGATCTTAGGGTGTGGTTGTGTGATATTAACGGTTTTTCGTGTCGTTCCTTTTTGACATCCTTAGTTGACAGAAATGATAACTCGATATTTGAACCATTTGAATTCATTTGGAAATCCAGTGTTTTCCATAGAATTAAAGTCTTAACTTGGTTGGTTGTGCACGGTAAGCTTATACTTGTGATGTGGTTCAGAGGAAAAACCCCCACATTGCTCTTTTTCCATCCCGGTACGTTCTTTGCAGAGGTAATGAAGAAAGCATCGACCACCTATCGCTACATTGTACAGTGACTAGGTCGTTGGGCAACGACTCTTGAAGCTGGTTTTTTCTAGGTTACTCCAGCTCACTGCACTTCGGTGCTGATGGAAAGTTTGTTGGGTTTGGGTTTCAACAAGTGTTATGGAAAAGTGTAGGAAATCTCGGATGAGATATCATAGGAGGATTTTTAGGAGTTTTTCTAGTATAGGAAATCAGGGGAGATTACCGGATCCTAAAGGGGCTGATCTGTTTGGATACTTTCCTGATTTTGTGTAACAGTAAGTGTATAAATAAAGGGTGGAGTAGCTTGTAATTATTCATTCATTCATAATAGAAATTCTTTCATTATTCTACATGGTATCAGAGCCGTAAGGCTAGGGTTTCTGGAAAAAAAAATTAGGGCAACCTTATCGCTGGTTTCCGGCTGGTTTATTTCTTTCTCTCCCAGCCTTAATCGCTGGTTCATTCCTTTCTCTCCCAGCCTTAATTGCTAGTAGTTCATCAGCCTTAATCGCTAATTTAGCCCTCCTTATTTTTTTTTCTGTCCAATCATATCCAATCATGACGGATACCACCTCTTCGGCTCAATCACCTTCGATAGTTGAGAATGAACAGCCAGCACAAAGCACAACAGAACTTCAGAATATCCAGGCAGCCTACAGATTAAATGGAAAAAATTATTTGAAGTGGTCTCAATTGGTTCAAACCTTTTTGAAAGGAAAAGGAAAGCTAGGCCATTTATTGGAGCAGGGACCGGAAAGAGGAGCCACAGGTGCAAACGCATGGGAGGAAGAAGATTCAATGATTATGTCATGGCTATGGAATTCCATGAACCCGGAAATTAGTGACACTTGCATGTTCTTGCCAACAACAAAGTCAATCTGGGATGCTCTCTACCAAACCTATTCAAAGGTCAATGATGCAGCTCTCATATATGATATCAAGACAGAGACAACAGGTGCAAAACAAGGGTCGAAAACTGTGACAGAGTACGCCAATGCACTACAAAATCAGTGGCAAGAATTGGACTACTATAGGACAATTGATCTGAACTGCAGCGTGTGCAGGAGCCATCAAAAAATTCATAGAACGAGACCGGGTATATGATTTTTTGGTTGGCTTAAATTCTGAGTTTGATCTTATACGTATTCAAATTTTGGGCAGGCCTGAAGTATCATCCTTGACTGAAACAATCTCCCTGGTCCGGGCGGAGGAGAGTCGCAGAGGCATCATGCTCGATCCACCTTCAACAGAAAATTCTGCCCTTCTAAGCTCCAAGTCACAAGGGCTAATGCTTGATGGTACTGCTGTAGACAAGCCTAGCCGACCAAGTGCTCACAATGATTGTGATGAGATGTGGTGCACGTACTGCAAGAAACCACGACATAACAAGGAGCGATGCTGGAAATTGCATGGGAAACCCTCCACAAACAGCCGAGAATGGGGATAGAGAGGAGGACAATCAGCATCAAGCTACAGCCAGGCTCATATGTCCACACAGGATTTAACCCGCAGCTTTGGAGGATTTAGTATGGAGGAAATTGAAAAACTCAAGGGTTTGTTAGGAAAAGTGGAAGATCAGGGACAGAAATCCAGCCCGCAGGTATCAACCCAGGGTATGTGTTCATTGACACTTTCAGGTGAGACTCTAATCTCTCTTGGATTAAATACTTTAGGTAATGAGTTTAGGAATGCTTGGATCCTTGATTCTGGTGCCATCGACCACATGACTCATACCTCTAACCTATTTAAGACCTATACACCCTGTCCAAGCAACCGGAAAATTATAGTTGCTGATGGTTCTGCAACCACAGTGGCAGGAGTAGGAGATATTCAAATTACCCCAGAATTAGTACTTCAAAATGTTCTCCATGTTCCCCAACTTTCAACAAATTTGGTTTCCATACAACAACTTACCCGAGATCTAACTGCTTGTGTTATATTCAATGCTTCCTCTTGTGAATTTCAGGACCCGGGGTCGGGGAAGAGGATTGGACTTGCTAAAGAGCATAATAGACTCTACTACTTGAATGTATCAAATCAACCGGAAGTGAAAAAACCAGTCGTGCTCTCATTATTTTCTTCTTCCAATAAAGATATTATTTGGTTACATCATAGGCGTCTAGGTCATGTGTCTTTTTCCGCATTAAAAATAATGTTTCCTGCCTTGTTTAAGGGTTTGGATGTTCAATCCTTTCATTGTGATATTTGTGAGAGTGCGAAACACACTCGTGTACCGTTTCCTATCAGTAATAATAAATCTTCATTTCCCTTCTTTTTGGTTCATAGTGACATTTGGGGACCATCCACCATTGCAAGTGTCTCCGGGTATAGGTGGTTTGTGAGTTTCATTGATGATTGTACGAGGGTCTCCTGGATATATTTACTCAAAAACAAATCTGATGTGAGCCATATTTTTTCCACCTTTCATCAAATAATCCAAAACCAGTTTGGCACAAAAATAAAAAATATTCGCTCCGATAATGCCCGGGATTACTTCAACCAAACCTTGACTCCATATTTTCAAAAGGAGGGAATTATACATGAATCATCTTGCATTACCACTCCACAACAAAATGGAGTGGCAGAGAGGAAAAACAGACATCTTCTCGAGTGTGTACTAGAGCCCTATTATTCCAGCAAAATGTACCCAAGTCCTTGTGGAGGGAGGCTGTACTCACATCAGCCTATGTTATAAACAGAATTCCAATCATCTTGCATTACCACTCCAGTCCACTGGAGACTTTGTCTCAATTCTATCCTGATACTCGAAAGTCCTTCAACCTTACTCCTCATGTATTCGGGTGCACTTCATTTGTTCATATTCATGGCAATAACAGAGGGAAACTCGATCCTAGAGCTATTAAGTGTATCTTTGTGGGGTACTCATCTACTCAAAAAGGTTATAAATGCTACCATCCTCCCCCTAAGAAACTCTATATATCAGCCGATGTCACGTTTGTTGAGTATAAGCCATATTTCTCTACTCCTTATCTTCAGGGGGTGTTACCTATACTTGAAGATAAGGAGTCAAGTCTACCACCACTGGAATTTCTCCCACCCGAGTCACTACTACTGGAAACACCCGAGTCACCACTACTGGAAACATCCTCCGAGTCACCAAAATCACAGCCTAAATAGTCACAAGAAAACCATTCAAATGGAAAAATCTTTCATCATTTCCGGTTTGATCGGGTATATACAAGGAAAAGAGATCCTATTATGACTTCAAGGCAGGAACAAGCCACTGAACTGACTCCTGAAAATGAGGTAACAATCTGTGAACCAAGTTTAAATATAGCACCAGTAGATCCTTCTCCCAACAGTGACCTTGATCTTAATCTGCCTATAGCTGTGAGAAAACAAACCCGAGAATGCACAAAAAGGCTTCTATATCCTCTATCTAATTTTGTGACTTTTCAGAAATTCTCTCCAAGCCACCAAAGTTTCCTTTCAACCCTAAACACAATTCCTATTCCTAACTCATTATCTGAGGCATTATCAAAGAAAGAATGGAGACTTGCTATGGAGGCTGAAATGGATGCACTACAAAAGAATGAAACTTGGGAGTTGGTTGATTTACCTAAGGGTAAGAAGCCAGTAGGCTGTAAGTGGGTGTTTGCAGTGAAGTTTAGGGCAGATGGATCTCTAAAACGCTATAAGGCAAGGCTGGTTGCAAAGGGATATACTCAAACGTATGGGGTGGACTACCAAGAAACATTTGCACTAGTAGCAAAGATGAACACCGTAAGAATCTTGCTGTCCTTGGCTATCAACTTTGATTGGGAATTACAGCAGTATGATGTGAAGAATGCCTTCCTCCATGGGGCACTAGAAGAGGAGATTTATGTGAGTATCCCACCAGGGTTTAGTCGAGTTGATGATCACAAAGTTTTCCGGCTAAAAAGGGCATTATATGGGTTATAACAATCACCCCGGGCATGGTTTGGATGGTTTGCCAAGGTGATGATAGCCAATAATTACAAACAAAGTCAAGGTGATCATACACTCTTCATCAAGCATTCGGCCTCAGGGGGAGTCACGATATTAATAGTATATGTGGATGACATTATAGTAACAGGGAATGATGAGGTAGAAAGGAGAGTCTTGAAGGAGGTTCTAGCCAAGGAATTCGAAATAAAAGATCTAGGGAGACTAAAGTACTTTCTGGGAATTGAGGTAGCTCGGTCTAGACAGGGAATGTTTATCTCCCAACAAAAGTATGTCACAGATTTACTCAAGGAGACCGGATTGATGGCTAGCAAACCGGTTAGAACTCCTATTGAACACAACCACAGATTGGGAGAAGCTCTTGGAGATAAGGCAGTGGATAGAGAAGTGTATCAGAGGCTTGTTGGCAAACTCATTTACCTTGCTCATACTCGACCAGATATAGCCTATTCGGTTAGTGTCATTAGTCAGTTTATGCATGATCCAAGAGAAGTTCATCTACATGCAGTCTATCAAGTCCTTCATTACTTAAAAGCGCATCCTGGGAAAGGAGTCCTATTCAAGAAAGCGTCGAATATTGACCTGACAGTATACACAGATGCTGACTTTGCAGGATCATCAGTTGATAGGCGATCAACTACGGGCTATTACACGTTCCTTGGAGGGAACTTAATTTCCTGGAGAAGCAAGAAACAAAGCATGGTAGCAAGGTCAAGTGCCGAAGCTGAGTTTAGAGCTATGGCAGCAGGAGTATGTGAATTAATGTGGGTTAAGATTATTCTAGAAGACCTGAAGATTCAATGGAGCAGACCTATGAGACTATATTGTGATAACAAGTCAGCTATAAGCATTGCTCACAACCCTGTACAGCATGACCGGACAAAGCACATCGAGATAGACAGACATTTCATTAAAGAGAAGTTAGATAGTGGTCTAATTTGTATGCCATATGTTCCTACGGGGCATCAGCTAGCAGATGTGATGACAAAAGGATTATGTAATAATATGTTCCATGAGAACATTAGCAAGCTGGGAATGGTGGGCCTATATTCACCAGCTTGAGGGGGAGTGTAGGAAATCTCGGATGAGATATCATAGGAGGATTTTTAGGAGTTTTTCTAGTATAGGAAATCATGGGAGATTACCGGATCCTAAAGAGGCTGATCTGTTTGGATACTTTCCTGATTTTGTGTAACAGAAAGTGTCTATAAATAAAGGGTATAATAGCTTATAATTATTCATTCATTCATAATAGAAATTCTTTCATTATTCTACAAAAAGTATGATACTTTCGGTTATGTGGGCCTTGTGGATGGAAAGAAACGCGAGAATTTTCGAGAAGGCGTTGGATATTGCTGATATTTTTCAGAAAGCCAAATTCTCAGCTTCTTTATGGGCTTCGTCCAACAGAGTTTTCAAGGGTTTTCTGGTTTCTTTGATTGTTTTGAATTGGAAAGATGTGATAGGAAGATGAATCCTTAGTTTTATCATAATGAATTTTTGTTTTTGTTCTGTTTTCCATTGAGGATACCTTATCCTCTTGTATCCGCTATTCACAATTATCAATAAAGGTGTTTTCTTAAAAAAAAAAAAGTTTGTACTTTGGCCTTGTTCATTTCGTTCATTTGAATCACAACTCAAGTTTTTGCTACAGTGTTTTCTCTCACAAAAATTCAAATTCAACTTTTTGTGCTATAGTGTTTACTCTCACATAAATTCACTTTTTAACTCGAATTGAAAACTCAAAATCGGTTAAGTGAATGAGGCCTTTATATCTTACAATAAATGAAGGCTGCCTTTATGCAACATGATTGATGGGTTTGTAAAGATATACAACTAATTCTGTAATTTTAAAGCTTATTACGACGAAGGTTTACTACTCACCTGTCGACCAAGGGAAGGTATTTCCAAAAGAATTGTCTTTACAGCTTGAGTATCCAATAACATCTGCAAAAAATAAAAAAAATAAAAAATAAATAAATAAAATAATAATAATAATTCCTTTATCTCTAAACTTCATGAATAAATATCAAAGCTTACTACTCGCACAAAATAGATTTATCAACGAATGATCAGTGAGGAGTTTCAACTGAAGGTAAAACGTATTGTTTCAGCTATTCTACAGCAACAGTCTTTTTTTTTTCTTTTTCTTTTTTTTTTTATTGAGAAGACAGTAGCAGTCTGATTACTAACATAGTTGAAAGTAACTTTTTGAGTAAATGTTAGGAACCTGCGAGTTAGAGAGTAATACCCACAAGAAGAGAAAAAGAAGAGTGGCAAATAATAGCGCAAATGGGGCGTCTGCTCCTTTTATTCAGTAACGAGCCACCATAGACTCGGTGGCCATGGCTGAGTACAAGCTGATCTATATTAAAGGAAACGTAAATGGTTGAGGAAGGCCTGGGAATTTCGAGGTCCCACCCTCCCAATGCTCAAAGCACCCAAAATAACCGAATGCCTTTCCCAAGGTTCCCGTACACCCTTAAATCCCCTGACTCCTACAATCCTTCTAATAGACTTCTCCACGTCAGCTCTTAGTTCCCAAAATTACATTCCCCCCCTAACACTTACTCTATTCTCACTCCCCATACCCTTGCGCTTCCTGGAATAGATAAACTTCAGTGGGGGGCTAACAGTAAAATAAATAAATAAATGAGGGAACCTAACAAAAATTCTGGATAGAACTTAGAACAAAGATCCAGTCAAATTGAAGTAAAGCATCTCCCAGCTTGATAATAAAAATAGAGAACTTAGAATGAAAACCGTTCTTAAAGTTCTCAGTGCAGTAACATGGCTTACATGATTGTTTTCAGGACTTTGAATAAAAGAAAAAACCACCATCTTCCATTAATGTATGGGAACATATCTTAGAAATAGCAGACCTCAATACGAGTGTTCCTGAAAAATTGCTTCATACACGAACCCTATATACCTCAAAATGAACTTCGAAAAACACATTCTATATGCAGGAAGCCTTAATAACTTAAAATTTCATATTCAAGGGATGTCATTGCAGACTTCCCTCCAAGACATCTTGAAACCGCCCCTTGTGTAAATCTCAAGTTGTCCTTACTTTTTATACCAAGGTACATGCACTTATAAAGGAAAAAGAAAAGTAAACGAAATATACAAATATTCAAAATATATATATATAAATATTCACACAGGCCTTACTTGTTGGGCTCCAGTTTCAGATATCTGCTTGCATTTGAAAATGTTTGCATAGAAACGTGGACCAAGAGAAGAAGCAAGCTGCATATGGTAATAAAATTATTAGTGCGAAGAGCTATATTAAATTTGAAGGGAGCTTCCTGGCGGAGTTTACATTAACCACCTAAGTGGATTCCGAATACTTGACAATGATTTGAAGTTTTAAAGCTGAGAAAATGACCTTGCATGATTAAACCATGGAAAAACCTAGGGTGGATCCGTATTTCTTGAATGAGCTCGAGCCTTGAGTTCGTAAAATATAAGTGCCTTTTTTTTATCATGACAAAGCCTTATTCTCAATCTTATCCCCAGTATTATCCTTGAACAAAGTTGTAGTTGTCAGGGGTGGAGCTACATTGGTACCATGGGCAGCTCAATGCTCCTATTTTTGCGCACACACACCAAAAAAAAAAAAAACAAACTATTGTTTTCTTTACTATTTGCCCTTTTATATTGCAACATTGATGTAGAATTTTTAAAAAGGTTTCAGTTATACCTCAAGTTTGGACTTTTAAATATACTCATATTTCAAACTTAAAAGATGAGCAATAGTATTATATAAACTTATATCTTTGGGGCTAAATTTTAGAAAAGCGAATTAAATTATATTACAAGCTTAGTTCATTCGGAAGAAGAATAAAAAAAAAGATAATAAAATAGCTAATACGAAGGCAAAAAGAGAACAACATTAAAACAATATAGTTGTGTTGTAATTTTAGTTCAAAATTTTTGATTCCCCTACGCCCCCACTTGAAAAACTTTTCTAGCTCGGCCACATTATTGTTGTTTTTGTTTGCTCTTACTTATTTATTTATTTAAGAAACGAAAATAGTGACAGAAGCCTTAGAATTAACGTTTCTGATCTTAAGAGGCTTGTATAGAAAACTTAGCTAAGAATAATTCTACTGAAGACCTCCAAAGTGGTTGCAGAATCTAAGCATTGTGTTTAAATATAAAAACAGCTAGAAAGAGGAAAGAAAGAAAAACAATAATTTATCATAAAAAATGATCAGGAACGGGATTCATCATAAGAAATATCATGTAATCACCTTGTCCAGGAAGAACTGGAAATAAACTGGTGAAAGGAGGCGACCAAGCACAGGAATACTACTAGTAAGAATCATATTTATGGCATTAACATACCTGCAAAAGTTCGATGCGATTATTTCAGAAAGTACCTTAAATTGGAGCCAAAGTTTCGAAGTTATAATGAATGCAACTTACTCTGATTGGTCCCCAACATTCTCAAGCGTACTCCATGGAACACGAGTCATTGCAGCCATTTCAGCATCAAATTTCGTCTCCAGGCCATGCACCAGGGTTACTAATGATCTAGTTATCACCGCTGAAAACTCATCCTGCAGATATGCTTGAGCACCTTAGAAATGGAGGAAAGAATTGCCACTGTATGATTTATTTATGAACTCCAATTAAGATTTATCAGTTTTTGGCTAATACCTGAACTTCTGACATATCCACCATCTCAGCTAAATGTGAGTCGATTATTTTGGACACGCTTTCAGCGAGTTCACCAGACTGTCAAAATTTAACCAAGTCACTTAGGCTGACTGGCACAAGCCGTGTGCATATGCACAAAGTTTGTTTAAGCCAAATATAAGTACCAAAAATCAACAAGACTCACCGTCTTATGGCAATACTCAGCTGAATTGACTATATAGCAAATCACTCTTTCATCTCTATCAGATGTCTGCTTATAGTTTTCAAAGAGATGCAAAAGGGCAAATTATTTTCTTTGAGGTGGATAAGAAGTATAACATACCACAAAAAAAAATATATATATATATATATATATCTGTTATTACCTTTATCTGTCCATCCACCCCCGTTGCTGCTGCAACAATTCCTGTGCCACCCTTAGGTAATCTTGCAAAAAGCTTTGTAGCATATGCCTTGAGAACTCGTTGAAATACCTGGTGGTGGCAGGCAATATCAGGACATATTGCATGGACGGGAGAGTTTTACATTACTCAAGTTCGCATTCCAGCTAAACCCTTACAACTTACATATTTATTGACTGTAAGCTTAAGCGTCTTTCATACCCAGTTATTTTTATAATTTTTTTAGGTAAAAAATATAACACAGACCTTCATTTCGATTCATTTCCAAGGATTTCCGAAACAAAAGCACAAAATACGATGACTATGGGTCTAGGATCACAGTACACTACACAAAAGGAACGAAAAGAGAACTAATAACAATATTAAAGTATGCACCTTGAACAAATTAAGCAATGTTTGGTTCTTTGTTAAAGCCGTACATCTCTTCAAACTTCTCTTGATTATAAGGAACAACTGCAAAACATGGAAAGGAAGTGAGCAGTGAACAAGAAAGATTGAGCCTCAATCGAGGAAAATCTGGTCATGAAGGATGCCTCTATAGAACTCCAAACATACAAAATTCCTACAAAACGAAAAAAAGGATAACACGTGAAATTTAAATTGTTTGTTTAACAACCTGAATGTTGAATAGGGTTCTGGACCTTTGATACATTCACATATAAAGAAGTTTTACTAATAACGACTCAATAAAATTGCAAGGACAGCAAAGGCTAATTATTCAAAATCTATACTAAGGGGGAAAAGAAAAAGAAAAGAGAAGGCATCTCATTAATTAAGCAATTTAGATTTTAGAGTAGCAAATCCTCTAGAATATCTTCCCTGACGTCAATACAATTCAGATGCAGATTGTGAGTAGATGAAAAAATTGCTTGAAGCCACTTTAATATTCCAAAAGCACAATAAAATGCACAACGGAAAATAAAAGTTCTTCTCCCACTTCAGTTAAAATGTTCACAAAATTTGGGGACAAGAGTTTTCCAGACAGAATTTTTGGGCGTGCATTCAAAAGATAGCAAGAGGAAGAAGAGAATCTCGAGATGCTTACCTGCATGCTGCTTGATAAAACATTATTTTGACTTCCCTCCTCAATATCCCATGTCTCCTCCTGTCATACAGAATAGGTGATCCGAGGTGGAAAAAAGGGGGAAAAAGTGATGAGCAACATAATGACTATAACAATCTACCTGAACAAGCTTCTCTATGTTTTCCATTAGCGTCTTCTCTTCTAGCTCTATATATACTGTCAAGTGACGTTCAAAGCAAGATGAAATGATTCCTCGAAAGTTGAACTGCCAAATGAAACCGCTTTCTCAATAATCTTATGTTCAGAATAAGTCACCAAAGAGAACTCTGAAAGGGGTACATTCTCAAGTACTCTCCTTTTCTATGGGAGAAGTAAAAAGAAGCAATTACACGTATTTCTACTACAACGTTAAAACAATGCACATGACATGGCATCAACTTTATGTGGGTTCATTAGTAAGCCCTGCTGAATAAATCACTCATTAAATTCTGATGTCACAGACAAATGTCCGCACACAAACTATATAAACATATCTCAAATATGTGTGAGTGATGTAAGATTTATTCTAATACTAATTTCTTGAAGCAAAGATCATGAAGCAAAAGACACACCAAAGAGGTCATCAATTCATTATGCAAGCATTCATGTACAATGTAGCACATAAATATGGAATATATAGAATTGAAGAAGTACCCCAGCTCCAGGTGCCGACAGTTCTTTGTTGCCATCCTTTTCCTGTCAACATAAAAAGTAATAATGGGTGAATTTATACATTTGGCAGTTAGCTTAGCACTATGCAAAAGTCTGAACCATAACAGCAATTGTCGATACACATACCTCAGCACCGTTTCCCTGATATGCTGCAAGCTTTTTTTCATACTTTTTGCGGATATCTGACACATTTTGACCAGTACTTTCCCCTCCACCAATTTCCTCAATATCATTCCTGGTCTCTTTTCCGTGAGTACCACCCCCAAATTTCTCTGCCAATTCGTCCTCAAACTCTAGAGTTCGCTGCAAAGCCTACACACCAGGTAAAGCAATAAAAATAGAAAGAACAGATCCTTGCATTTTTCATCAACAGATTACTTGCCTAGGTTCACACACTTTCCAACTTTCTAAGCGGTAGGCACAATTTATGTATTACAGACGACATGAAATGAAGGACACTAGAACAAGTGCAGTGAATATACGGGCCGCCTCATGGAATTAGAAATCAGAGTAGCAGGAAGCACTAAGATATGAGGGTTTGGGGGTGGGAACAAAAAAAAAAAAAAAAAGGTTAAGATGAAAGGACGTTTATGGTCCACTGAAACAAAATCCACATACACTACAAAGTTAATCTGACTGTAACTGATCGTATGTTGTCCGGAAAAACTTCTATAAAATTAGGCGTGCAACCATCAAATTAAACTAATCAGGAAGCACAAATATATATGCCAAATTTCACTTCACTTGCATGTGAAATCATTTAGAATATTAGAAACAATATCAGAGGTAGAGAAAACGGAAAAATGTGACCTATGGCTTACCAACAATAATGTCCCAACATCTGGCTTTTCTTTCAGATTAGAAAGGATTTCCTCCAGTTGTTTCCTGAAAACAAAACACAGTCCAAGTTATAATGACAGAAGTAGCAGTTCTTTCACTGTGTAAACTTTATTTAAACCAGAAAATGCACAACATTCTAGGTTTCCATTCTCCAGGGTCACTAAACCACTATCTTGAACGTTTTAAGTTGAACATAAATTTTCACGAAAATCAATCCATCAAGAAAATCAACCCAAATCTGGCCTCCACAGAAAAGATGAAGATCAGAACAAAAGGGGTTGATATGAAAGACAAGGAGATCATACCTTGTCTTTTTACAAAACTGAATACAGAGTCGATACGGAACATGCCATGAAGAAGGAAAAATCTTCCAGATTTCTTCATTTGTTCTTATTCGCCGTTTGATCCATGCATATCTTCGTTCAGTTTTATCCAACTTAGCAAGTTCTAGAAGCATAAAAAATATAACGAAACTCAATTCCATCAAGTTTAAAGTGAACTCTTAATACACAAAGCTTAGATACTGATTTGTACAAGACAGAAATAGGAACTCAGACAAACCAGCTCCTTCAAAGATCTGTTCATAAGACGTGAATTCCCTGCTGCAAAAATTATTTACCAACTCTTCTCTAACCGATGGCTCTAAAGCATCAACAACTAAGCAAGCATTAGATAATTGCTGGAGTAGATTAGTTTCTTCTGTCTCCTTTCCAGTACCTAAGCTGAGAATGAATGTGAAAGAATAATTACTTAGGATGCGGAGACGGATAAACTTACCATTAAAAAATTGGTCCACAACATGCGGATGATATTTGTCAATCTCAATATTGGACACAACCTAAGTGAATAAGGTATATATAAGGTCGAGTTGCCTTTAAGAAACTCTGTGTAGTTATTGAGATATCAACAAAAAAGGAAGTTCAACAATTTCAGTGGGAGCCTACTACATAGGTCATGGAAAATGGTGACCCTTGGTCAAAGTTTTCCCAAGGCCCAAACTAAAGGACATGAAGGCTGGTATTGTAATGCAAACCAGAATTAGGCGCATTAAGTGAGAATTATTGGAGGGCACTTAGAGAGCATCCATTGCAGTCAACTTGCGCACGTTTTGACAATGGTCAATGACCACTCGAGGAAAAACCTCAAACTACACCATGTCTTATGCCTTGCCATCATAAAAAAAGGGAGGGGGTGGGAGGAGAAATTTTCAACTATGATCATACCATTCGGTGGTCAGTTTAAAAATTCATTTTTGACACCATACCTTGAGAAATCAGAAAACACATGTGACTTAAGTATTTGTTTGATATTCTTAAATTTCTCTCGGAGCTCTGTGATTTTTGGAATATCCCTATATGCTTCAAAATGACTGCATAGTTGGTTCACAGCCTGAAAAATGATAATGAAGAAATAATTAGAAATGGAGCAAGTTTAACAAAGAGTATTGACTTAGTACTCTAAAAATGCTAACAAATTGTATTTCAGTTTAATAAATCCATATGCAACCTCGAGTATATGCCATATGCATGAAAACGTAAATTTATGCTTTAAATATCAGCAACAGTGAAGGATAAAAGGATACTTGAGGGAGGGGGGGATACCTCCAATTGTGCAGCTGCCTCCTTGTATTGTCGTTTTGAAGCCATTACTTGGAGCTGCTCAACAGCAGAGACTGCCAGAACATAAAATTGGTGTTACTTGGGAAATGTAAAGATATTTATATTCCTTCAGTCTTCGAATTGACATCAACCAGTCAGCTGATTGCATAGAACGCAGGAGAATCACACCATTAAATTAATCCTTTTTCAGTTCCATTTGGAAATTTTGATTCACAAGACTTAGGTGTCCGTTATTTTCGGGCCAAACTTCACAGCAACAACTTTCATTGCTGGTCTATTTATAATATTGTTAGGACATCCGCCGGTAAAGTCTAAATAATGCAGTTGATGCGCAATTAAAATAAGAACAGAATGAACATCTGTATTTGACAGAGGCATCTGTAGGCAGTTCTAGCACATTTGTTGGCGTTTATTGCGGTGCTCTTTGATACTTGCACTGTAGTTTTATAACTCCAGTGTAAGCACTGAGCAATACCACTCAGACTCGCAACCTATGACATAATAACATGCTACACAGGACCCTACGCCATTCATTAGAGCCCAAAAAATTGTTCTATTTAGATTGGGAATCTTGAATATCAAATTCACCAGTCACCATAAATAAAGCCGGTCATAGCAAGCTTGTTGCATAACAAATAAAAGACAAGAATACTACCTAGCATGGTGAGACGATGAAGAGCAGTAATTGTTGTTGTTATATGCTTCTTTGCAAAGTCCAGCTTCTTTATATCACGACATATTTCCTGAACCATTGTCTCGCTTTGCTCAGCTTTGGTTTTGATTTCCCGGATTTTATACATGAGTTCCTACATTACAGGAAAAGAAATAAACACTACGGTAACAACAAAGGAAATCCACAAAGACAAAATGTTCCTTTTTCAAAAAGACATTCAGAACTCAACCAAATACGAATATACCTCAACAGCACGTGTAGCAGCAGCAAGATCTTCCTTCGCTTTAGTTCCTGAATTACTCTGGAAGTACAATGGCCAATCTACTTATTTACAAAGTAACTAATTTTACTAAAATCATGACTACAAAGTTGTAGTTTCATTAAAGCACATGTGTCATGAAGCTTGTTATTTTTAATTTTTTGCCTTCCTTTTTCCCCTTGGCCATCATAACTTCAACTACAACCCAAGAGGCAATTAAGGCATAAAAAATAAGGCAAAGTTAACTACCTGCTGACGAACGGCAGCTAAAATTTCAGCATCCACCCGTCGAATCTCATTATGAATCTTTTGCATAAGCGGCTCAACCCCAGACAAAGATGCCTCTGAATATCAACAGAAGGATATAATCTCACTTCAAAAACACATACAGAAAGCCAAAATACATGATCATAAGAGGATAATATATTTTCATGCAAGTGTTACTAAACATCAGGATTGTAACCCAACGGAAAACTGCACTTGCTACTCAAATGCAAAACACCAGACGCTAAAAAATTCAGCATTACTAATTTGTTAATTCGAATGTATATATGTATAAATACACACACATGTACGCATACCTGTGGGGAACATCTGGTTTATGTACTCCAAAGCGCTAGACTTGTCCATTGCTCAAATTGCCTCTAATCAATCTGCGAACTGATCACGCAATTCGTACTGGAACATAACAAAAACAGGAAATTCGATCCAACAAAATCAACGATTTCCAAATTCCATAACTGGAAATTCAGCAAGAGAAGTATCCGCATTATACACACATAAAACTTAAGCAAAATTCTCGAGATTTAAGACAAAATCTGACCTTTTACCATACACTCATCAAAATTCGCAGATCTTGCTGCATGCCAAAACCGATCGCGTAGTGGAAAAGGAGATTTTACGAAGTCGGAGATAAGCGGTGAAGCCACGGCGATTCGGTAACTTTGAAGAAGGAACGAGTTCTTATTGAGAAAGACGACTAGACAATTTATTAAATCTTGATCTGTCTCTCTCTCTCCATCTGTCTCCACCCTTCTCACTCTAAGCTCGAATCGGGGGTTAGAGGGGCGACTGCCACGGCGAGAAACGGAGGGGAGGCGAGCCACAAAGGAGGGCTCTGAGACGGAGGGGGCGGTGTGCGACGCTGGGTTTCGCGCGAAGAGGCCGGCTGGGTGCTGGGTTTCGCGACGGAGGCCGACGGTGGCTGGGCTGCACGACCGAGTGTAACGAGGTGCTGGGTGTAAAAGTATTTTAAAAACAGAGTAAATTGCACCGGACACCCTAAATTATTCATTTTGTGCGCCCCGGACTTTCAATTTTAATAAACTGAACTCTAAACTTTATAATCTGTTGCAATTAAAGTCTACGATCAACTAACAATCAACTTTCAATTTTTTAACAAACTACGCCATGAACTTTATAATTTTTGTACTAGTCATAAATTAAGGATTTGTTTAGTATGATGATTCACATTGTTTAAATCATAATTTTAATTCAAACTAATATTTGTTTGTAAAAACTAAAGTACAAACTAGTTTGAACCCAATTCAACAAAGTTTAAATTCTGATATGATGTTTTAACTGTTCTAAACTCTAAAAAATAAAACCAACCATCCTCTTAATTTTGACTGGTTTGAATCTCAAGGTCAAACTACACATTCATGATTTAAAACCCAAGTTCAAATCCTACAATTCAAAACTCACATGGTTCAAACTATCTTGACTTGAACCTTATACTAAATGGATTCTAAACATTATTTAATTTAGTTTATAAGCCTGCTATTTACTATATTCTCCTTTAAATTTAACTAGATAAACACATAAACTCATTGGGCTTTAGGGCTGAATTAGACCGATCTTTCCATTTTTAAAGCAAGACAGAACACGCTTGAAATTTTCATTAGGGTCGCTTAGCTCACGTTAGGAGATCAAGACCTCGTTTATTTCATCAATTCGAGTTTAGAATTTGAGTTTTGTTATAGTATAAAACTCTCAAAAACAGTCACATCTAATTTTTTTACTACAATAAAATTTTTTTATATAAAATCACATTTTAATTCAAATTAAAAACTCAAATCAGCCAACTGAACGGCCCAAACTTTCACCTCCAAATCGGATCAATAGCGGCAAAGCAATGAGAAAAAGAAATAAAAAAAAATAATTAAATTATAAAAAAAAAGAAATGGGAAAAAAAAGAAGCGAAGCCAGAACGAAAGGCGGGTAAAAATTATATAAAAATGAAAGGAATTAAAAGAAAAGAAAAGAAAAAAAACAGAACAAAACCTGATTTAATAATGGGTTGAGGCCCGAGCCCGACCATGCTTTGTTGTTTTCATCATTAGTGCAACTGAGCTTTCTAATCTCCAATCTTAAATTTCCACTATTATTCTAATTCTCTTCATACCTTTTTATGAGTGTAAGCTAAGCAAAAGCAACACTCAGGAGCTAGCTAACTAAACTCTCTTCAAAATTAGGGTTTATTTTTCTTAGTTTTGAATTTTGATGGAAAATTCGGGTGCCCAGCTTCAACCACTTGAAGAATCATCCGCGGATTCAACTCTCCAGTCGCAGGTGATTTTTATTTTGTTTTATTTACTTTTTTTGTGCTTTTTGTTATTATGTTTCGATGGAATTTTTAAAATTTTTGGCCGTTTAGACATCGATTTTGGATTTTTTAACGATTCATGAGGTTCTGTCGGATGCCGAGAATCTCGGAAAGGATTACAAATGTAAAGGGGAATGAGAAAAAAAAAAAGTTGTTGTTTTGAATTTTAATCAATTGATTTCCTTTATTTCCATTTCAATCCTGCTTAGAAAAACAAGGAATTTGCTATTGTTAATTTGAAAGAAGGATAGGTAGGAATCAGAATTCTGTTTAGTAAGATTGAAAGATGAACCCAATACAATTTTTCAATGGTGGCATAAATTTTCTTTTGGTAATGTTAATTTTATATTTACAACTTGAAGCTGAAAGTTTCTACTTTTTTTTTTGGTGTGCCTGTCCGGGGTATGAATGAAAGTATTTTTTAGTTTATTTGTACGGGCAGTTGCAGAAAGTGTAGAAATTAGAATTAATATTTGGCCAACTGTGACAATAAAAAATAGGATTTTTTTTTTTTAATTTTTTGTTGGTATATGTGAAAAAAGTGTTCATAATGTGTACTAACTTTTGAAACAATTTTTCATTTTTGTCCTTCTATTACACATAACTACATCATGAAACTAAATATACATTTTTGGATCCCATATTGAACTGTGGATTAATGAAAAGGTTTTGATTGTTTGATAGACATGTAATGAAGAGAGAAAATGTGAAGGAACCTTACTTGTTCAACAGTCAAGACGGCCTAATCTCTCTTCGTTGCAAATTCCTGTGAGATCTCTTGAAAACTCTTTGTCCGCTTTTACGAGGACTGACATCTCTTCTGTGCCAAGTCCTGCTTCCACTAGAGTGGGACTGCCCCCTAGGCCAAATTCAGCTAAGGTCAGGTCATCCATGAAAAATCTGTTTCCTCAAAGAAGCATTAAAGTGAAAAATCCATCCCAGGATGCTGAGAGGACCGTCCTCATTATACCGGATACACCCCAATCAGATGGTTCTCAAGAAAGGCCTACTACTTCAAGATCGTTCTCTCTTAATAAGGTTTTCTTCTCTTCATCAACCAAAATGACAAGTTCTTTACCAGTTACACCAATGGCAAATTCAGGCCCTGAATCAGTACAGGATAGACATCTGGAGAGTCAATCTGAGTTTTCTGTAAGTGACCTTTGTTTCAGAATACTAATGCCACTAATCTCATATACTCGTAAGTAGAGTTGTCTTAGAGTATTGGATATTAGATGCTTGTATCTTTTAGTGCACTTCATGGTATAATTTGTTGCAGACAATCGAAGTCAAGCATCATATGACCCGCTCATTATCAGTGCCAGTAAATGTTAAGACTAGAAGTTTAAGGCGAATGGATTCTGGAGGCATGATCCGTGTGATTTCAGCAACTCCGCGTCCTGCAACAGTTGATGGTGCCTCGCCAAATGATGCCCGCGCAACAGAAAGCGGTAATATCAATAATATTGTCTGAATGGAGTTTCAATCTAACATATCTGACACATATTTTGATGGCTTGGCTAATAATTAGAAGAGATGACTGAGTTTTACCCCTAAAGTTGGTGATTTGTTTTCTCACTTTCAGCTAGTGAAGATGCCGGTGAAGATATTCCCGAAGAAGAAGCAGTTTGCAGGATTTGTTTGGTTGAGCTTGGGGAAGGTGGTGACACCCTAAAAATGGAGTGCAGCTGCAAAGGAGAGCTGGCTCTTGCTCACCAAGAGTGTGCAGTGAAATGGTTTAGCATTAAAGGCAACAAGACCTGCGATGTCTGCAAGCAAGATGTCAAAAACCTGCCCGTGACATTGTTAAAAATACATAACGCTCAAACTCTAAGACGGCCTCCTGCAACACCACATCAGAGAGAAACTAATCGCTATAGGCAAGTCAATCATTTTATTGTTTTAAGTTTAAAGCTGAGATGTGCAGCTCCAATTTTTCAATGTAGAACGTTACATAGGAATGGACCTATAAAACAAAATGCTGTCTTCTTTTCTTTCCTTTTTTTCTTTTTTTTTTTTTTTTGAGGTGTTTATACCGAAGGAGTATTTTAGGAAGGGAAATCTGCAAAAGGTTTTAGTCTTAAGCATCTTTGTAAAACTGACTCAACAATTGAACTGAAAAATAAAGGAACAAAAATAAAAAAGCGAAACTGAATTTCCATTATATAGCTTTATATTGCTGTGTATATATAATAGTTGAGTAAAAGTTGTAGTTTTTTCTTTTCTTTTATCTGTGTTGTTAATTTTTCAGTTATGAACACACAGAACAATTTTTCTCAAGCTACATAGCAGCATGAGGCTTATTTAAGTCCCCAAAAGTTTAATTTCCTTTAGTTTTTAGCAAGAGAAAAGTAACAGTAACAATAGAAAATAATTATTGTGTTTTTCCTCCTCTCTTGTTTTAGTCTTTTATTTATTTTTATCAATAAAATTGTTTTTTCTTATGAAAAAAAAACATGTCCGCAGGCATGTTTTGTGGATGTTTTCAGCTCTCCACAAGAAGATAAAAGAGAAAATTTAATAATGCAATTGTTTGATAGATAATCTCATGAACCTTTTTTATGTATTTCACTTGTCCTTTGATTGCATAGATGTATGGTTCTTTATCACTTTCTTGCCTTTTGGGTAATGAAGTTTAAATCTGTACATGATATTTTTTTTGTCTTTTTTTTTTTTCCCTGTATCATGCTTGACAGGATTTGGCAGGATATTCCAGTACTTGTCATGGTCAGCATGCTTGCGTATTTCTGCTTTTTGGAGCAACTTCTGGTAAAATATCTTTGCTTGTTTGCAATAAACTCTGACCTTGTCACAATATGGCTAAATGTTACGGAGGTGTCTAGTTCAACCCATTAGTTGCAGGAATATTGTAATGCCATGACTCTCATACATTTCATAGTTGGTTTTCCTATCAGTTGATAGATATGTTCTCCGGTTAGTGTCATTATTCTTTCCATGAGCTAGTCTTACGTCAGAGTACAATTTTTCACATGGAGGAATAGTTTTTTGCCCTTTTTTTTTCTTTTTTGAGCTGCCCTTAGTCGCGACCTATCTGCTGCTCTATTATCTGTTGTGTACGCACTTTATCAGAGGTTTGTGTTTCAAGTAACTTGTCACATTAATGATTTCAATTTGAGCAGGTGTCTGGTTTTCCCAACAGTTGATATATATATTTTCTCCGGTATTGTCTCCGGTTAGTTGCTTAGTGTCATTAGTCTTTCCATGAGGCATGAGCTGATCTTACTTAAAAGTACGTTTTTTTCACACGGAGTAATAGTTCATTTGCAAATTTTTTGTTGAGCTGCCCTTAGTCGTGACCTATTTATTGCTCTATTATATATGTTGCGTACGCATTTTATCAGGGCTTCGTGTTTCAAGTAACTTGTCACATTCATGACTTCAATTTGAGCAGGTGTCTGATCTGGGTCCTCGAGCACTTGCTATTTCTTTACCGTTCTCTTGTGTTTTGGGTATCCTTTCGTCCATGATTGCTTCCACAATGGGTGAGTTCTATTACCTTCTTTTTTTTTTCCGTTGGTGCTTCATAATGTCACGTTTCATATACAAAATATTCTAATAATAAATAACTGAATAAATAAAGTTATCTAATAGATGAAGAGATTTCAACTGTGGGATGGAAAGGGATCTCCCAAGTTTGACACTATCAACAAAATAATAATAATAATGATGATGATGATGACAACGAAGATGATGATGATGATGATGATAATAAACATTTTGGCTTTGCCCCTATCCACTGACAAACATTTAATGATGGCAGTGAGTAGGAGTTACATATGGGCTTATGCTTCTTTCCAGTTTGCCATCGTCATTCTGTTTGCTCACATTTTTTACACCATTGTAAGAAAATCAGTTTCCGTCTTGTGACTTTTTAGCCCTGTATTTCATAACTCTCCCTTAATAGAGAGGAGGGCTTACTTGGGGTCATCTTCTCATGTTCTTAAAATCTTGCAGCTTAACGTAAACCCAATTCTTTCGGTCCTCCTTTCCTCATTCACCGGCTTTGGGATTGCAATCAGCACAAATACTCTTCTGGTCGAGTACCTTAGATGGAGAACCAACAGGCAGCTTCAATCTACTCGCCAACAAATTGAAATCGCACTGCAGCAACAGCAACAAATTCATCACCAGCAGCAGCAACAACATCAAGAGCAATATCAACACCATCACCTGCAACCATTGTCAGAAAACCCGCAGCAGCAACAGCAACAATTTGAAAATCCAAACCCAGGGCCTACTCATAGTTCCAGGCAGCAAGTTATTCTGACGACATAGTCGATAAAGATATAAATAACGAGTTGGGTTTAATTGAAAGGTTCTTAACGGAGTAAAACGGCTTACAGGTTTCCCATGGTTTTCAACATTTTTGGAATTTTCGTTAGAAGTTTGGCCAGAAGGTTTTAATACCACTTGAGGTTTGAATATTGTTGTGATTTTTTTAACGTTGGGAAAAGACCCACTTCACAAGCTCTCGAGTTCATCAGGTTTGAGCCTATTGAGGTTTTTGTTACAACTATCATTGTGTTTTTTTAGGGCTGGGGAGTGTGAGGTTTGTGGTTTTGTGTTGTCTGATTGTAAATGTACATTATGTATCTTCAAACACATTGTAAAATATAGTAGTCACAAATTCTTTGTTCCAGAATCCCTAAAAAAAGTTAGGGTGATTCGGGGAAATGGTTATGATTTTGAAAAATTTTGTCAAATTTTTTTGCGCTGAAATAAAACCGATCGTTCTTTTTATTTTTCTTTTTTGGGTAAAAATCATATTTACTAGTTAAGTTAATTGGATATCTCATAAACATTAAATGCTGACTAAATTAATTGGTAAGTATACGATTTACAGAGTAAATTAAAGAACTAGCCCCTAAAATAGAGACCTAAACTCATGGCCAACAGCCATTCACTTCAATGTTGTTTCTCTCGTTTCCTCTTTCTTCTTCCTTTCTATTTCCCACTCTCCCCTATAAATCTGACCATTTTCTTCACCGTCATTAGATCTGGTTATTCCCTTTTCTCGAGTAGGTGATAGAACATCAATTTATTACAATTTCTATTAAAAAAAAAAACCAATTGGCATTCATCCCCTTGATTTTCTGCTCACATGGCACTTTGCCCCAGCAAATTATTAGGAGCTACTAAGGATCTTACATTATTTGTTTATTGCAACTTTTTCTCAATATTATTATATTGAGGCATTATAGACCTTATATTATTGTTTATTGGTACTTTGTCCCTGATTCAGAAGTTTATCAAATTATAGTTATATCTCATTTAATTGCTAAAATTAAAAATTTTAAAGATCAAATTGTGTCGTATTCATGGACCAATTGAGTCATTATTCTAGTTGTTATTTGAATATTTTAGCTATACTATGGTTGATTTTCAATAACGGTGTCGTATTATTTGGAAAAACATTGCATGACACATTAAAAAAAAGTAACGACATATTATCCTGTACGTTTCACGTATCTTGCATTGCACGGTACTTAAACGCATGCATAAAAATGGCAATAATATTTGTATTTCACTTCACTTTTTATTCTTTAGTACTTGAGTAATTTCTTTCGGGGAACGTCAAAAGCGCAACCTACAACTCCACAAGATCTCTAGCATATATCTTCAAACAAACAAAATCTAGATCAACATTTTTTTTTTAACTATCGTATTCACCAAGTCTTGCCTTCAGCATCTCCTATCGATCCAAATGACTGTAAAGAAGAAGAGAGATTAATATATATATATATATATAAGCCACGTCAGTTTGAATTTTCAGTAATGGCAACATCTGTTCAAAGTGGTACGTTCTCTAACCATAAAAAATCCTGCCTACACATTCAAGACTTTTTTGCCTATAAATTTCATGACAGTTTCTGAAATTTTTAGACGTGAGTACTTTTTAACGGTAGCAAAATAACTTTACGACACACCACTAAATAATTTTCAGTGTCATTTTTATAAAGTTGGTTTATATTTTTAATTCTTTTTGTAAAATTAAAGTTGTATCCACGCTTTATAGAAAAATTATAATTGTGTTCCCGTTTAATTAATAGTTATCTCTTACTTTTTTGTAGTGCCCCATTAAAAAGTGAAACATTTTTTGATTTCGTTGTCGAGAATACTTACAATAAGTGTATTGAACCTGATACACCCTAAGGCCGTGTTTGAAATTGATCTCATTTTTATTTTTTTTTTATATTTTTTGAGAAATAAAAAATGAAAACGTTTTCAAAACGGTGTCTGGCGCAATAAAAACAAAAAACATAAATGAAAACGATTTTTTGGTTTAGTGTAAAATGAGAGAGAAATAAAAAATAACTTATAATCATTTTTCATTTTTTATTTTCGTTTTCTCCTCTCTCGAGCAGAGAGAGATAGACATTAATAGATTTTTTTATACTAAAAATAATCTCTTAAAAAAACTACTAAACGCATTTTTAAAAATAATTTATATATGATATTAAAAACGTTTTCATTTTCATTTTCATATAAAAAATAAAATTATTTTAAAATGAGTTCTAAACCCGTCATAACTATTCTGATGTTAGGAGGATATGCTATTACGCAGAAAGCATCTCGAGAAAGATTGATAGTTGAAGTACACTTTGGGCAGTAATCAACGATTTGGACACTAATTAATTTGTCGCTGCCTGCAAGGTTGAGGAGCAAAGTTTGTGGCGCACAATGCATTCAACCGAATAATAAGCTCTACCAGTCTTTGCCATGGCTCCATAAGGCTTTGCTTGCCGCAGCAATCCAGACACCACGGTTGTCATAGCCGAAGCAAGCACATGCTAATTTTATATTAATTTTTGTTTGTGATCATGATATATACATAACGAAAAGGGAAAAAAAAAAAAAAAAGAAAGTTACAATGTGAATATTCAAATTAATTAATTTAGGAAAAATGATCATACTATCACCATCGATTTTTTTTAGTGAATTTTACGAAGGGATCCTCAGGTTTTGATAATTTCAAAATGATACCTATATAGTCATTTAAAATATATATCTTTAATTGATACTTAAAGCCATTTTTGGAGGTACATGAAATGTTCCATTTTTGGAGGTTCATGAAATGTTGTCTTCGCCCTTTTAACTATTTTAAATTAATCGGACTAAATTCATTTATGAAAGATTGTTAATATATATTTTTTTTTTTTTTCTAAGAATAAATTCATCAATTAATTAAAATTGTTAAAAGGAAAAAGTAGAAAATTCATATCCCAAAAATGGCCTCTGACCTTGGGACAGGAAGAAATGATAGATACCATTTTAATATTATTGGAACCTTACAAACCTTTGTAATATTGTAAGAAATAACAAGATATCAAACACTATCGGTAGAATAATTTCTTTTAATGAAGCTGTTAAAAGTCTCTTGATCTACTCAATAATATATGCGTTACAATTGATTTTGAGTACTTGATTAGGCATATAAAAAGAGTTCATCTCAATTATTATTTTTTTTCTTTTGAAATGAAATGACGTTCATCTCAATTACTGCTACAATACCGTTACCATAAAACAATTAAAACCGTTAGATTAGTGTAGAGCCGTTACATCGTTATCAGTGTGACATGAAACATTAAAAGTTAACGTGCCTTTATTATTTGTTCTCGTGTTATAAATTTTGTTGCTTTTATTTTCACCAAATTCACAATGAACACAACCAAAAACTTAACGAAATCACTGTTTTTATTTTCATGTCATAATTTCGTGATATTATTAATGTTACGTAACAAATAATAATGTTGCATAATAAATTAAACGTTATTTCCCATTGTGACTACGATAATGTTGTGATCAGTCTAAGCCTATAAAAAATTTATATGATATGTTTGCCTACAAAATATGATGTCAAACCCCGCGTGCAAAGTTATTAGAAAAAGTTCATAGAAAAAGTTGATGACGTGACGTGATAAAAATTCAATTTCGTTAGTTGTAATAAAATTTTTTGGTCAACTACCTAATTTATTATAATCATAAGATTAATATCTTATAACTAAAACAACAATACTCATTGATAAGTAAATATTGAAATAACCATTAAAACTGCACCTATATATATTTATATTTATACTGAGGAGAGGGATGAGAGGTATCGCTTTTTTGGCCAATCATATTGTGCACGTCAAAACTATGGCATACCTACAATCTCAAGATCTTGCTCCTCATCACGGTGGACATGGAGGTGGGAGTTGTGTGTGGATGAACACTTAACATTAGTGGTAGAGTCACACGGTTCCTCGATGATATATCCTTTATGGTCTTAGTGGCCAAATTATTGTCGATGATCTTTTCTGTATGGTTGAGAAATTTTATCTCTTTTTTATTTTTTATTTTGATGTAATATAGGCAGTGATGATTCTGCCATTTCAATGTTTATGTTTTCGTCGTCCCACTATTCTATGGTGGTAGTTAATCTATCCTGCTAGGTCAATGTTATGAGTGACCCTAGAACTCTAGGTCTTTTAGTCTCAATTAATTGGTTTTACCATCAACTGTAATGGTTTTATTAAACGAGCTGCTGTCGCGCTCAATTATTGATGTGTCAAGTGAGTTTTTTCCCATCAAAAGTCAACACTCGTGTTAGCCTTTGTGCCTCATTTAGTGGATCCAGTTTTTGTCTGTAATCAAATACCCTTATATTTGATGGTCATTTACGACTATTTTAAAGTAAAAGTATGTATGTATTGACGTAATTATTAAATGAAATTTCCTCATTAACCAAAAAAAAAAAAAAAAAAAAAAAAAAAAAAAAAAAAAACTCAAGGCCTTCTTTCTTGCCATAACTTAATATATGTTACTTTCATTCCTTCATATTCTAGATAATTTATAAAATTGACAAGCAAGAGCTTGTCAACCTAGATCAAAATGAATCAAAATTTAGGGGTCTACTAAGAATCCCATTAGGTATAATGCCATCAATCTACAACAAACTTCTACTTTAGCCCCCTTGTCAACCTATTGGAAACCCAAAAACACGATATAACAGAGATGGCAAAGCAGCTTTTAAGAATGATCGCCAAAATATAACAGAACTCTACTGTTGTGTTTTGACTCTTGTATCGACATTCTCTATCCCCCTTCACTTGCTAACTTGGTCTTCATTGGTTCCTTGGAGATGGAAATAAATCGATGATTATCCGAAAGAGTTGTCGAGTCTATCGCAATACACTTCTTGCATTTGGTTTAGTCACTGCCTCAAGAAGCCTATACATCCAACGATCTAACATTCCTGTTGACGCAAATAATAAAAGTAGACATATCACACAAAAAATTAGATAAAGAAACGGTAAAAAGCCTTCCTGTCTACACATGAAGTGAGCTTTGCACCACGTCGGTTTAATTAGACTATAATAAATTGAGCTGAACTTTAATAAGTTGATGAAAGTAACTCGTAAAATAAATAATTAAAGAAAAAACTTTCCATAGATTGTAGTTCCTCATGACGCCAAGTTATATAACCAATCTTTTATTAAATTACAGCTTTTCTTGAAGTTTCCGTACGTTTTTTAATACCAAAAACTAATATCCTATACGTATTTAGACGGAAAGATTGGATAAATAAATTCGCAAAATTCACACTTCTTCTATAATCTAGATTCCAGAGATGTCCTACTTTCCATCTCAACTACACTGGTTTAGGTAAAAATTTCAAGAGTTAAGTGTCACAAAGAAACCTGTCAAAGCAAAGGTTCCACCCAAAACTGCACAAAGCCGAGTAATGAAATGGAGAAAACTGCGCCGTTCTTCTTTGATGGTCACAGTAATAGGTGAGAGATCATACAAGAAGTATACAGCTGCAAATGAAATAACCAGAGCTGATAATTGGTGCCAAGAATCCATCAAAAGGACAAAGTCAAATCAGTATAAGATAAACCAACCTGGCCATGACCTATCAAAGTCTTTCATCGGTGAGAAATACTCCGTGACAGAGAATTGATTAGTTGGCAAAACCTCTTTCCAAATATACCTATATTCAGTTGGAACGATCTGCAAACGGAAAAGGGAAAAAAATTACATATCCTCAAGTAAATTGCAAAGCAATCGGATAATGTCATTCCTTTTTTTGGGGATTTAAAGATTTCAATGAAACACCCACTTTCTTTGCCCACAACATTGTCTATTGCTACAAGTAGGCAATTTATTACATCAAAATAAGATGTCAATCACATATTTTGAACAGAAAACAGAGACTCTATTCAAAGAAGCAAAAAGAAAATTAACTCACAGGACAAGGAGTACATAAAGAAATGACAGAAACAGAAAAATATGTTACCCAGAATATCAAACTCAGCTTTCAGCAACAAAGTTTGTACTAAGAAGAGGTTGTCGTATAGCCATCTAAAAAATCAACAAGTAATTTCATGCCTCAACTAAATTTGACACCAGAATGTAAACAGCATTACAACATACATGGTTAAAACCCTCACACTGCACACTCGCACTGAAAGAATTAAAACCCTCACACTGCACAATAGCGCAAAATACAGCATACATGGTTAAGACTAATCCAAAAACTTTTAGAAAGAAACCCCATAATTCAAACCTTTATATAATATTTGAATACTCCGCTCGTATCATGCAGAATCCTCTCTGTCCCATCAAGTGGGTTGTGAATTCCTGGATATTTTGGGCCAAAAGACAAATCATGAATTATATGACTGACATTCACATGCTTGGATCCTTCAAAAATCTGCATAGAGGGGAAAAAGATCGTTACATGTGAGACAGAAAACTACAACAGAACTTAAAAAATGATAGGGAAAAGAAGAGGAAATTTTGAACACCAAACACCTAAAATTTTGAACTCAAAAGTTCATGAACTAAGAGCCAACAAATATTTATTTTGCAATCCAGAATCTCCAAAACCACATGTACAAACAATCTATCCGATGACTAAAGATCCAGACGCACTAATGCACTCAAAGGTACCTAAGAATTGACATCAGGCACTCCTCTCAATCCTAGGCATCAGATGAAATCACTATATAATAGAATGCAAAAAATATGAAGAAATCATTTTATAACAACGAGGGGATATAAAAGGAGCAGGAGAAAGAAGAAGAACCAACCATTTGGGCGACAAAAATGTTTAATCCGTGAACTGAAATATGGAAGTTTCCAGCGACTCGCTGGACATCTAAAACCCCGTAAACCTGCAAGTTAAAGAAAAATTCAGGGTTCATTTAGCATGAATTAAAAGTTCACATAGAACTTTAACATAACATGAAAAGAGCTCCATGATGAAATACCCGGCATCCTTCTCCATTTGCCAATGCCTTCCTCACCCTTTTTATCATTTCTTCAGCAGCTTCATCAAACCCTCCTCCTAAATGACTTTCATGGTCAGGGTGCTCATGATGATCTTTATCACGCAAAAGTTAGCTATTAGATATTAGGATATTCCAGCAGTAAAACCGAAAAAAAAAGGAGGATCACGTAAAATAGCAAAGGCATTAGTGACTTGAATATTATTATTCAAAAAGATTTCAAAGTAGGAACAAATTTTCAAGCAGCATTCTTTCATTAGTCAACCAGACAGATATGAAGCAACAAGATTTATAACAAGTTTCATGAATCAGCTACTTATTCACTTTTGGGTTATATTGGTTGGGGGACAACAAGCGTATTGTCAATCATATTGTCAATCAAAATAACTAGAAACTGGAGTCTGTCTGTGTCAGACCCGTACTGAAAAACGTTTACACTAGGAGAGGTAAGGGTGACAAAAAGACTAGAGTTGGGGGCCAAGGAGTAATTTCAGGAAGTGGCTAGGCAGGTGACGTGGCAAAGGCAAGTAGGAATCAGGGTATTTGGGGGGTAGGAAAAGGTTAGGGCAGGGGAGTCTAATTCTGTTTTGTTGTCTCTGTGTTGTTTTCCACCGTCGGTGGCTAGGAGTTCCGGAGTACTCGAAATCTCCGAATTTATCTTTCAATTGACTATTGTAACGTGAGGCTGATTGAAATAAATAAAGATTCCTTGATTCCTCTCATTTTCTTGGCTGTGAAACCGTGTGTGTGAGTGTGTGCTGAGTTGTTTGGCTGAGAATTACCAGGTTCCTTACACACTGGTATTAGAGCTGTACAATCCATGGCGCCCAAACCGGCAGAGACGGAAAGGCTGGTCGCGGCAAAGAAGGGGCTGACGGTGGTGCAGCAAGTGGTGCAGTCCCTGACGTCCGAGCAAATCCGGGAGGAAATCGGTGGGTTGAGGGAGGAGATGAGAAATCAGATCGGCGGGGTCCACGAGGTACTACGCCGGCTAGAAGATCTCATGGTTCGCCGGCTAGCTCTGTCGGAGAACGCGCCGGAGCAAGGGGAAGTGGTCCAGCGTGACCGAAATGGCCCGAATCCAGGCGATTTGCGACGGGGAGGTCCGATTGTCGCCGACCCAATCGCAGACAAGGTCATGCCGCCACGGGGTGGAGGTCTGGAGGTCGGACGACGGCCGCGCGAGGCGGTGGGGGTGGTTGGACGAGGCCTGGACGAGAGAGGAAGGAGGCGTGGTCCTGTTGCTGCTGAATCTGGGCTGGGAGCACCATGCCGACCTAGTCAGGGAACCTCCAAGAGAAAGGGGTGGACGCCTAGACCAGGAACCCAGCCTCGATTGGGGACCCATGGGGGCAAGACGGGGTAACCACCTCGACCCAAGAGTAGCGGGGAATGGTGGCAGAGTTGGCGGGGTACCTGGCCGCCGAGTTGGGGAAGTTTGGGAGAACAAGGATGAACCTAGGCAGGCCAGGGGAGGACAACCGTGGGATTGGGAGCAGGGACAGCGGCTCGAGACGCCGGAAGGTCGGGGAAGAGGGGAAATACGTGGAAGGAGAGTGGAGATGCCGAGCTTTTCCGGTGAGGACCCTTATGGGTGGCTGTTCCGAGCTAAGCAATATTTCAATGTGTATGAGGTACAAGAACAGGATAAGGTGGCGGTGGCTTCCATGTGTATGGAAGGGCGAGCTTTGAACTGGTTCAGATGGACTGATTCTCAAGATCCGTTCGGCGAATGGTGGGACTTGAAGGCAGCGATTTTGAAGAGGTTTCGTAGAGCTAAGGAGGTCCAATGGAGAGACTTATGGCTTTGAGGCAGGTGGGGTCAATGGCGGACTACCTAGACTGTTTTGAGCTGCTGTCAGCACCGGGGTGGGGGAT